AACCCCTAAACCCCAAACCCCAGCCCAGCATCTGCTCGGATCATGTCCTGGAGGAGCTTCTTGGTCCTTTGGTCGAGGGACATCGGCTCCCGGAGAGCTGTGCTCATGGAAGAGTTTCCTGGGCTGCTGTTAAGGAACTTAAGTTACCAGAATGGGTATATAGGGTTTAGGGCTTTTAGGGTTTAGAAGGTTGGTTTTTAAGGTTTAGAAGGTGGGTTTAAGTTACCGTACTGGGTAGATAAGGCGGTTTCCCCAACATAGCGACTTAAATTGAATTCCTTCACAGCAACCCTAAACCCCTAACTTCCAAGCCCTAAACCCTATATAACCCCTCCAGAACCCCTATATAACCCAGTCTCTGAATCTGGTGCCAAACAGATGGCGGATTCGATTCCGGCTGATTCGAGCCAGCTGAGCTGCGCGGGGTTCAAGGATGAGTCCTTCGACTTTGATTCGGGTTTAGGGTTTAGGGTTATATATATATATATAAACTGTGAATAACCACTATATAACATAGCTTATTTGTGTGTATATATAGATATACAGAGATAAACCCTTTCTAACCCCTATGTAATATGGTAGTTTCCATTTCAATTTTTTAACTCCCAAGTCGCCCAGTTTGGCCATGCTTCCTACGCGTAAGACAGGAAGCAATCGCACTGAAGATGTGACCATCCCCTTGTGAGCAGTTGTTTTTGGTGGTTGAACCGCATAAGATTATGCTCTTTATGTGAAATGCTATACCCAGAAGGGAAACAACTGCTCAAGTGATGTGGATTGTGCGGTTTAGGCTTTAAGGTTCAGGGTTGTTCTTTTCCATTCTTGCAGTACCACAGACAAGCTTTGGAGCAAGTGGAGATATATGGGGATACATGGGGACATATGGGCACATGTAGGATTCAGGGTCCCCAACTGTTAAGGGTTTCCCAAAACAGGGGACCTCAATATAGACGCCAATATACTATAACCCCAAGTATGGGAACCCATAAACAAGTACCCCTAATTTTGGGAAACCCGAGTTTGGCAATTTTTTGAGCAAAGCTTTGCTCACTTTGCAGTCTTCTTGACATGCACGAGGAACCTGGGACCGGCAAAGTCGACGACTCCCTCTGCTTTGATAAAGCAACTTTCCCATGGCCCGTAGAACAATCGTATAGTGAGAGTAATATGTACAGTAATGATAATCATAATCATAGTCATAACAAGAATACTATATGCCGATGTGATACCTTAGGTGGTGCCCGCATGCCATTTGAAAACAATGAAGGTAGAAAGAGGCTAGGCCTTTAAGTTACAAAGTATATATTAGTGCATCATACCAGACGCTCGTGAACTCGATCACCGACTTAATTTTCTGGCTACAAGTACTTGCCCACACAGGTCTTTCGCCTCCGTGACTGCAGGCTGTAAGCACTTGACATAGGATTGCAGGTGGGGATGGACATGGTAGTTTCTATCAACAAGGGCTCCCCAGAATAGACCCCAAAATACTTTAATCTTTCTAGAGAACCTACAAAGGACCCCTAATTTTGGCAAAGCCCCCAGTACAGCGGTGGTAGTTTGGGCCCTTGGTTACTTGCCATGTCCCAGGCTCAACGGTGTGACACTGTCCAGGGAGTCTAGCTCCACATGGTGGTTTCCCTCAATGGGGGAACCCCAATATAGACCCCACAATACTTTTATCCTGAATAGGGACCCTGAAAAAGGTACCCCTAATTTTGGGAAACCTCCACATCTCTTTGCTTCGGGTACATGGTGGGCTTTAGAGGTAATGGCTCTTTCTTCATTTAAGGTTTTATATAGGGCTATACAGGATTTATATCGCGGTGTTGGGGCGAATTATGAAGGATCAAGTGCAAAGGCAAATGGAAACCAGCATCGAAAAACACACGCAACCAGTTCAACTTTAGGGTTTAGGGGTTTAGGGTTTAGGGGTTTAGAGTTGAGGGTTCAGGGTTTAGGGTAGGCATGCGGGAGAGCCTGGGGCTCTCACAAGAAAGACTAGCTACGGGCGGCGGAATTCGCACGAATTTGCATCTGGCAGATTGGAAATGCCATCCGTGGCTGCAGCATCATTGACTATCAGTACGGGCCTGAGTTTCAAGGCCCTACTTCATGCTTGCACCACCTCATGATGAAGACCCACTGCGGAGTGGGGGCGCATTGTGAGGGTGGGAAAGAGGCACGTTGCCTGTTTCTGTCGTGCCCACCCTCTCTCCCGTGGCGGGCTTAGACTTTCCCATTTTAGCCGCTGTGTTTGCGGGGCCCTGTGCCTCTGTCCTAAGCCCCCCAATTCTGCCGTACTAGGTACTGTATACGGGTCGCACGTAAAGTTAACCCCCCCCAAGTACATGTTCGAGGGGGTCCCTATGCCTTATGTATGGACCTTGCATGTCTCAGGTTCTGTAAAAATCTATTGGGGATAAGCTGGCTTTCTCTGGCCCCCTACGTCCCATTGATCATCATAGTCCAAGTCGGTGGTACTGTTGTTGGACAATATTTGTTAACAATATACCTAAACCTGCAGAGTCATGGTAGTAGTAGACTAGTCTCAGTCTCATGCCAGTTTCTATACACCAACCATAGTTTATGCTGCACCATCCAGGATGGCAGTTCCTATCCACCTATGATTGTGTGTCACAGCAGGGGCGTCTGCATTTACTTCCGCCCCCAAGTATCTCGCTGTTTGGACACGTCACGCATTTACAGAGACGCACTGTGCGCGCAAGGCAAGGGCGTCCCAATACTTGCTGCTGGCTGTTTCTTTATGGTTGGTAGCCTATGGCAAAATGTTGGGTTCTTAATAGTAAATGGTTTCGTAATAGAGCAAGCCGAATGATAAAAATGGGTCCGCAATAGAGCGAACTTTTGTCTGAACGGATGAATAATAAGACAGGATAAAAACAAGACAGGAACGGAATAATTCCATGCTCTGTTCTGGAAACGCCCAAAGGGTTTAGGGATTTAGGGTTCAGGGGTTAGGGCAAGGGAGGGTTTAGGGTTTATCTCCCAAACAAGTTTACCAGAATTTGACCAGGCGACCCCGGGATATTTTGAATCCTCTCTTGTTTGGGAGAGGGGGGGTTAATATTCAGAACACCCCATTGGTTTTGTTGGTGCTGTCATCATCAAGGTTGCTGCAATCATGAGGGTGTAGGGTTTAGGGCAACTGCTCTTAGATATGACCTACTGTCTAAACTCCTAGTATCCCCCTGAATAACCCCTATAGTAGTCCACTATATAATCCCCTATCCAACCCTGTTTGAGGAGTTTAGACTACAGCTCATATGCCTACGTCCATCGTGATGCAATTGGTTCATTTGCGATTGCCAAATTCTTCTTGCTGATCGTTGCTACTATTGCTGTCGTTGTCCCTACAGGAACAGCTCCATCATCCCAGATTCCATTTCATTTTCCATTCGACTTTCCATGTGATTCTCCATTATTGGCGTAATATACCTAAATCCCAAACCCTAAATAGTAGTTTCCACGTTCTTTTCCATTATTACACTGTTGCGGCAGCGTTGAGAGCTGACTTCTCAAGCCTTTGCCTCCTAGATGCCGCAGGCACTTGAATTCAGCTTGTGCTCATTCAGAGATGCCAACTGACGGCACCATGTCTTGGTTCATCTTCTTGAAGCCGACTAACTCCTTGAAGATGTACCTCGGCAGTTATACGATGGTTCTATTGGGGTTATGTTGGGGTTGTGTTTGGGTGTATTGGGGGTACATTGGGGTTAGACGGGGTTATCATGGGGTTGGAAGTTTCCCTGGTGATTGCGTTTATGGCAAGGCTCCAGTCACAGAATGAAAGCAACTACCCAAGTGTACTATTCGCATAAGGACGGGAAAGTCACAACCTGGATTCAGATCCCCAGCAGCCTGCACGATCTACGGCGTCACATCACTTCAGAACTTCCCTGCAGTAATCAGACTGAAACAGTAGAAAAGTCCCACTCATACCTGTGGCTGTTTACTACGACGCACCACTTCTTGCTTGGCAGCAGGCTCCACAATCTTCTTGGCCGGATCCTTGGAGGATCGCTTGTCGCCCAGCTTCTGCGACACGCCCAGGATCTCCCCGGCCTCTGCGGAGCAGGTTCAGATTTGGCAGTTTCCCAAAACAAAGGGGGAGCCCCACTATCGACCCCGAAATACTGTAATCCTTGTTCTGGGGACGCAAGAAGGTACCACTATTTTTGGGAAAGCCCCATCTCAACGTTCTTCAGAATGACATGGTGATGAAGGAATTCAGATGTTCAACAGCTCACAATAATGCTCCACTCGACCCCACTGTGGGTTCCGATTCAGGATCGAAGGCTCGGGTTCCACAAACGAGGGGGCCCTTCTGTTCTTCTAACGCGGGGGCCCTTGTCTGCTACTAATGCAGGGACATGCAGGAACCCTTCTCTACTTCCTACACTCTAGACGATGAAGTCCCAACAGAAGACCATGGCTTGAGAACCCATAAACCCTTAAGCTCCAACCATGCTGGTGTAAGGTTATTGTGTTGTTCCCACTCCCGCGGCTCGAGGGAACACACTTGTCTCACGAGGCACGCAGACCCTGCAAAAAAAGCCTGTCTCCAGAAGAACCATAAACATGTAACTGCTGTCTCTGTCTTACTTCCAACTGTCCTGGCGGATGTAGAAGTCGAGGTCGTCGTCCGTGCACCTTTGCATCTGCTCAACTTGAGCCCTTCAACTCTGACTCTACGAAACACGATCTGTAGAGGCTGAGCCAAAGGCTTATTCGTGAGCTGTGCTAAGCGCACGCGCTCAGATGCGAACTGCTCATCCTTCGCACGAGCATTCCGAGTCTGATCTGCAATCCCGATTGCTCCAACATGTCGCCCCGAGCTGCGAGGCACGAACGCAAAGCGCATGTAGCTCTCTGAACCAGAACTTTCGATGCGCAGAGTCGTGTTAAGCACCGCAGTCCAGGTCGAACAGGTCGAGGCTGGGTGGCGGTGGTTCGCGCAGGCATGGCGGGAAGACCTGTCTTGAGGAAAAGGTCTCCCCCTCTCCAGCAACTAGTTCGAAATCCCAACTCGCAGGAACATGTCAAAAACTATCAATGATCGGGTCCCCGGCGGCCGGCTGCAGCGCAGGCATGGGAGTCTCGAACTGCGGGGGGATCAGCGTCAACCTGGAACATGTCTGAAGGGCCCCGCAGCCCGTTCCTGCTCTTCTACCGCAAGGTTTCAGTGGCTGAGGAAAGGGATAGTAATAATAATAGTAATAATAATAACAATAATAATAACAATAATAATAACAATAATAATAATAATCAATACCTGATGTGCAGCTGGCACGGCCACCTGCGGAAAGGATGATCTTGGAGGCTGAAGCCATACGG